AGAAAATGAGGACCAGGGAACACCACGAGAAATAGTCTGGGATGCTATGAAGGCCTATCTAAGAGGGGTAGTGATATCCTACAACGCATTTAAAAATAAAGAAAAAAGGAAATCCTTGGAAGATATTCTTAATCACCTAGGAGAAGCAGAAAGGAAGCTCCAGGATAACCCCAGAGATGAAGTAACAAAACAAAACTGGTTGATGTGGAGACACAAAATGAACATTTTTGACCAAGAGGAATTAGCCCTAAAAATAAAAAGAACAAAACAATATTATTTTGAAAATGCCAACAAGTCGGGAAGGTGCAAACTGAAAAAAGAAAACGAAAAAGGGCAAATTCATGTATTAGAAGATGCTAAGGATAACCTTTTAAACAAAGAAGAGAAATTAGAAAGAGCAAGGGAATATTACGAAGCCTTATACAAAGAAGAGGAGGCCCCAGAGGGAAAATTAGAGCAATATCTGGCAAATGCTGAGCTTCCACAAATCACGGAGGAAGAGAGGGAAATGCTTAACGGAAAAATAACACTGGAAGAGCTTAAAACAGCCCTCTCCAAAATCAAAAATAACAAAGCACCAGGACCGGATGGATTCCCAGGGGAAATATATAAAAAATTGGAAGAAAAAATACAACCAAAATTAGTGGAAATTTTTAATGAGGCCCTGATGAGTGCAAAAATCCCAGATTCATGGAGGGAAACGCATGTTACACCTCTACCAAAAGAAGGTGCCGACCTAAAACAAATTCAAAACTACAGGCCAATATCCCTACTTAACACTGACTATAAATTATTTATGAGTAAAATGGCCGAGAGACTCAAAAAAATACTAAACGCTTGGATACCTAAAGATCAAAATGGATTCCTTCCGGGGAGGCAAATTAAAGATAATTTGAGAATTGTATTAAACACCCTGGAGTACTATGAAGAGCATTCCGGAAAGCAGATGGCCCTAATTTTTTGGACACCCAAAAGGTGCTCGATAATTTGAATTGGAAGTTTATGATTAACCAAGTTAGAATAATGGGATTCGGATCAAATTTTGTAAAAATGATGTAACTATCTACAACAACCAAAGGGCGAGCATTCTTGTGAATGGTGACAGGACAAGAGGGTTCCAGATTAGGAAGGGGGTAAGGCAAGGCTGCCCCCTTTCGCCGTTATTATTTATTTTGACCCTAGAAGTCCTATTGCGAAAAATCAGAGAAAATGAAGAAATCAAAGGTCTTAAGATCAAGAAAGAAATCTACAAAACGCAAGCATTTGCGGATGATGTGGCCCTAATATTAGAAGATCCTTTAGAATCCGGACCAAAAGCATTAGAGGAACTGGGCAAGTACGGAGAGGTGGTAGGACTTAAACTGAACAAAACTAAAACTAAAATACTAACTAAGAATGTAACTGAAGTCCAGGAAAAAGGGATAGAAGAATCGCTGGGATTACAGGTAGTCAAAAAAATAAAATACCTGGGAATTTGGATTACTAAAAGGTGCTCATCCCTAACGGAAGATAATTATGTTCCCCTAATTAGAAAAGTGAAACAAGATTTAGACAGATGGAAGAAAATTAAATTATAATTTGTAGGCAAGGTAGCTGCGATCAAGATGAAGATCCTTCCCAAAATTTTATTCCTATACCAAAACATACCTGTGACCCTAGACAAAAAATTCTTTTTAGAATTAAATAAAAACATCAGGGAATTTTTATGGGATGGGAAAAAACCGAGGATCTCACTTAAAATCCTACAGGGAAAAAGGAATATGGGAGGTGTTGGACTCCCAGATTGGAAATCGTATTACAGGGCAGCCAAGCTAGTATGGATAAGGGAGTGGGCCATTTTGGAAAATAGGAGAATTCTAACTCTAGAAGGCCACGACCTACAGAAGGGGTGTCATGCATACTTGTGGAACACAGATAAAAAAAAGAAAACTTATTTCCATAGGCATAAAATCGGGGAATCCCTAATCCAAACATGGACTGGAATCAGACGGCGTTACTATACAAAAGTTCCCAAATGGCTCTCCACGATGGAAGCCTTGATTTATCCAAACAGGTGGGGAATATAGAAAATGTGCAGATATAATGATATATTACATGGGTGAGGAAACCTCAAATCAATTGATACTTTGAGAGATCAAGGTATAAATTTGATTGGTGGACCTACCTACAAGTAAAATCAAGATATCAGAAAGACAAGGGAGATTATGGCTTGGAATTAGGATATAATGGACTAGATAAAATTTTGATGGGACCGGAGAAAAAAGTTTTGGCCAAATTATATAACTATTTATTAGATGAGGACAGAGTTGAAGAGATAGTTAAAAACCAATTAAGAGTATGGGAGAAAAACATAGGACATAGTCTAAATTTTAACGAATGGGAAGAGGCATGGAACAAAAACTATAAATTAACCAGAGCCACGACATATAAGGAGAATCAATACAAAATGCTCCACAGGTGGTACTTAGTACCTGCCAGATTAGCTAAAATGTTCCCTAATATGCATCCCAACTGTTGGAAATGCGGCCATGGTCAGGGCACCTTCTTTTGTATGTGGTGGACATGCCCCGAAGTGAAAAGATACTGGAATAAAATTTGGAGTTGGATACAAGAAATAATTGGAGAAGACATAGAAATTGACGCCGGAAATATTTCTCCTGGGAATAGTAAAGAAGGGGTATGGAAAGAAAAAGATCCATCTGATAATACACATAACCACAGCTGCTAGACTGGCGTATGCACAACTCTGGAAAGAGAAAACCCTGCCACCAGAAGAACTTATAATTAGGAAAATCCTGGAGTGTGCAGAGATGAGTAAACTAACGTATGAAATAAATAACGATGAGAACTCAGACTATTATACTGTGTGGGAAAGGTGGTATGAATGGTTGAACAACAGAATTAAAGAGGGAGTATAAGGTATGATAAATAAGTAGTAATAAACTGATTAAGTGATACCAGAGACATTTTATGTATATATGTATAAACTCTGCAGATCCGATTTAAATAGAAATGAAATTTTTGTCTTGTATATATATAAAACTGAATAAAGTATATTTTAAAAAAAACATACAGAAATATTGAATAAGCAAAAATCAATGAAACAATTAGCATGCCAAAAAAAATCCATCTATTCAACTAGACTTATCTTTGATTAACTTAATTAAGTTTGATGATGGCAATGAGTTTTGAAAACCATTTTCTTAAGAAGGTAGCATGAAAACATTATCAACCAATAAATTCAAAACATTATAGTATATTCTGTTGTTATTTCTGTTTAGGAAGTGGCTCTAAAGCCTTGGTTTTTAACATTTAGAGGCCAGTCACTTATGTCCCTTTCTAGGGATGGAATTTAAAGTGCACAGATTATCATTCCCTATATAAAATCAGGTTTGTTCAATTATTTTTACAGGGAGAGACTCAGAGAAGTACAGCTCTAAACAGCTTTAAATACTATTAAATATGCCATTCTTCTGTACTTGCTCTGTAGTTTGTGACCTGGGGATAGATGGTTATAATAATTCTGTTTTGTAGGTTTCCTTTTTACAATTCTTTTTCAATTTCTATGCAAAGCTATGTGGATGATCATTAGGAGATGAGGAATAAAATTAATTGATGTACTAATGAATACCAATTTTGTTTTCCATATCAGATATGTCAGGAGGTATTGAGTGATATTACACTCTAATAATGAGACTCTCAAGGATTCTCTTGGAATTTACTATGCAGCAATCTAGGAAAGGTGATTCACATATAGAAATATCCTGAAAGTGAAATTACCCCTTATTCAGTTTGGTTTGATTGTAAGCTTTCTACATAGCTAAAAATACATGGATTTACTCAAGTCTGCCATTAATTTGTGCTTCTGTTTTACCGTTAAGCATGTGGCTGTTTTACTGTTAAGTATGTGTTTTATGAGTTTTCAAGCTGGCATTGTGATTTTAAACATGCTGCTATTTTTAGTGTATTAATATACTAAATATAATATTAATATAATATTGATAGCGTTTATATTTGTTGAATCACTACTCATTTTACCAATAAAAAGTAAGAGGGAGGCAAGTAAATATTATTTAATGCTAACATTATTTTCATTACTTTAATTCTTCAGAATTAAGCCTGGCATGTTGCATATATTAATAAGAATACTTGTTAATTATTTATTCATTTAAATATCTAGATATTTTATCCCAACCAAGATACAGATTCTTAGATTAGCATTAGAATTTCCGTCCATGTTTTCAAAATCATTCTTGAGATTGTGCTGCCACAATTCATATTGGCTGTGGCGGGACCAAAATAATGTTGTAGTAAGTAGAAAAACGATCATCCTGCCATTGTCAATTGCATACTAAGCTTTACTTCATTTAGATGGGATAAGTTATCAAATATTTGTTTGAACCCTTTGTTCACTCTCAGTTGTCATTTGATATTTATCATATCAGTGCAGCAGCTTATGAAGATTCATAATATCTTGAGTCAGAAGAACTATGACGGTAGAATAAGATTTGTCCCATTACTTGCAAAGTGATAGGGAATTTGTGATTCTCCAAGTATTGCTGAACTACAGCTCTCAATACCTTCATGTAGCATAGCCAGAATGAAGAATGCTAAATGTTCACCAACATTTAGAGAACCATATTAGAGAACACTTATCCCAGTGTTCATAAAAAGTAATAGTAAAACTCATGAAGTGGAAGTAATAACCTAATTGGTGTTGGAATTTCCAACTTTAACTATGTGGCAATTAGGTAAAAGATAATGTGACCACTTCACTTAGGACAACAGTTTTGGTAGTCCAAGTTGAGTTGTGAGGCCAAGACAATACTGCTGTTAGGTCAAGATCTCATGCTTCCCCTAACGTGCTGTGCTCACTTTTGCTTCAACTCCCCTAACCCTTGCTTTTGGCCTCAAAGATATGAAGGTACGTAATTATATGTATGTAAAATAGTGCAATATGAGTATACAGTAAACAAAAATCTCTTTTTTTAATCACATAGCATATAAACAATGATCACATTCATGGAGAAAAGAAGGAGTTTGTATGTCGATGGCTTGATTGTTCTCGAGAACAGAAACCATTCAAGGCCCAGTACATGCTAGTTGTACATATGAGGAGACACACAGGAGAAAAGCCACACAAATGCACTGTGAGTAATCACTGTTATAATAAACCAAAAGGCACCTATTGATTTGCTTCCTTCTTTGCTTCCTTCTAATTGAATACATTAAAATGTATGTAATGACTATTTGGTCACATTAAAATGTCTTTAAAATATTATGTGAAAAGTGCTGTTTGTACAGTGTTGGAGTTTCTTCTTATTCATAAATTATCTACATTTGTCAGTATTGATTTCATTTGCTAGAGAGCATACTGTGAACAATATGCAAAAAGTCTTTCAAAGTGGAAACAGCTGAAATGGGATTAAAAATGAAACAATGGGTATTATAATGCAGTTATATAAATATGCCCCAAACCTGTTATCCAATTTTGGAGGGGAGGGGGAATAGAGCTAGAAAACAGGAAAGAAATGGAGCATCTTCTCTATAAAGTTTTGAATTTCAAATCAGAACTCGTTCCATTTAATGAAGTTTTTTAAATGTCGTTTGTCCTGAATATGCCGTTTCTATGAATCAGTCCTACAAAAGTATAACAGAATCCATCTTCAGCCAGCCAGATACTTCATGAAAAAGGGCATTAATAGCCCTAAAACAGCAATAAGCTGTTTTAGGTAACTGGATTTCAAGATACATATCCTTTCTACATAAAATTGAACCAGTTGTTAGGATTAATAGCTTTGAAAAGTAATCTTCTACAAGTACAGTATTTTTTTTAATGGGTAGGTTAATAAATGTCTCCATATCTTATGATATTAAATATTATAAGAATTTCCATTTGATGAGCTTTCGCCTGTCAAGCAGCCTCAAAACATCTGGAAACTACCAGGTTAGGAAAGGCTTTATTAGTCCCTTTTTAAAATCACTATATCTAAAAAGTTGGACTGAATTAAATCCAAACGTGGGTGCGTGCTGTCCCTTTTTGTGGAGTAGTCAGACCCCACAATTTTATTAATCATAAAATCCTAGGTCTTTTTTTGTCTATTATTTGGTAAACATGCATAGGTTTTAAATCTTGCCAGTGTCTTACAATATCAAAATAATTCATTATTTCTTTGTGTAAAAGCATCCTTCCTAAACTAGGAAACTAGCTACGCTTTTATTTTATTTTAAGATTATAGCAAGCTCCTTAAAAAAAAGAAGAAAATCTAGAACATATTGCTACTATGGCTAGATCTTGAAAGCTGTGTTACCTTTGGTGTGGAGTATTTTACTGTATTACTTCTTTTTCCACACTTCATCTTCTATAAAGAAATGTTTAGAATAATATAATAGTACATTTTGCCCTCAGTTTGAAGGCTGTATGAAGGCCTATTCCAGGCTAGAAAACTTGAAAACCCACTTGAGATCTCACACTGGAGAGAAACCATATGTTTGTGAACATGAGGGTTGTAACAAAGCATTTTCAAATGCATCTGATCGTGCCAAACATCAAAACAGAACTCATTCTAATGAGGTAAGAAAACACATGGTTTGTATAATCCTCAAACAATGCATAATGTAGTGCTATCAAAAGTATTTATTGTAAAACATTTATTTATGGTCTAGCTATATATTAAAAATACATAAAGACATGAAACTCAAGAAAAAAAGATTATTTAGAAGCAACGAATTGCTTCGAGAATCTAAGTCTTTTTTTAAATCTGCTTCAACTGCTGGGACATAAGGAATAACTTTGATTCTTCAACATCCAAATAAAATCCTGTTTGACTCATGAGATAGACCCAAACAATGCACCCTCTGACGGTTTTATAGGGAAGATTTAGTCAAGTTTTTATGAGTGATGTCTAACTCAGCCAAAAATATGAGAGATTGGTTGTTTAACTCAACCAATCCTAGCCAGATTTTCCCTAAAATGTGCCCAATGGCTCCTGTCATGCATTTGAATATTGGTTCCTTCTCTCTCTCACTCCAGCTGGAAGTATGACATGCTTGCTAGAAAAAAACACAGATACTATAGATAATCTGCAGCTGCATCACTACTGATAATTGATCTCATTACCAACTTTTCATCTTCTTTGGCTTTTGGTTAGTGATTGCACACATAAACATGATGTGTCTTTTTGTCACAACAGGTACATGTAGCAATAACAAATGCTATACAAGCATTTCTTGGATGCACAATTCTTTCTTTTATGTTTAGAGACTGGTCTTTAATATATTAAAAAGACAAACTATGGGTAGAATCCTGAGCCAACTGTGAATAAAGTAGAAAGGTAGTTTCTAATATAATATGGACAAGAGTGGGATCCAGAATCTAATTAATTAATTAATTAATTAGATTCTGTTAATTAATTTCTTTTTTCAATATTAGTGAGTGCTCTATTAAAATCAAAACTATTTCAAATGAAATGTTCCTATGAGTAAGAAATACCTATTGGCCAAGTTACTACTCCAATTCATACATATAAAGGATACAAAGGCAGTTAGTAATTTGCTGAAGGGGAAAATAGGTATTAATGAAAAAGAACTACTATGCTTGGGCTTAACAACCAGATCGTGATTCAAATTTTCCCATGACCAGAGATTCTACCACATTATTTCTATTGGTCACTCAGCTCAATTTGTGTAATAGACTTGTTAAAAGCAGGAGAAAATATTCCATCCAATCAATTAAGAGAGTGTACCCAAACCAAAACCAATGATAGCACTTTTTCCATTTACAGAAACCCTACGTCTGCAAAATACCAGGCTGCATAAAGCGCTATACAGACCCAAGTTCTCTCCGAAAACATGTAAAAACTGTGCATGGTCCTGAAGCGCATGTCACCAAGAAACAACGTGGAGATATCCATCCAAGACATCCACCACCAAGAGATCAAGGCAGTCATTCCCAAACCAGATCCCCAGGCCACCTGACTCAGGGTGCAATTGGTGAGCAAAAGGGCCTCAGCAGCACTACCTCAAAACAAGAAGAATGCCTCCAAGTTAAAGCTGTTAAGTCAGAGAAGCCAGTGGTAAGCTTCTATTTCTTTTTATTCTTTAGATATAAAAGTATACATTGTTCATTAATATTATTATTACAGAATGGTTACATTTGGTTCCTTTTTTCCAGAATATCTGTTTATAATAATAATGAAGCTATTGCAATCTATATAGTTCAGAAGAACTTATCAAACAGGGAACAGCAAACTATTTAATGGGTTTTCACATAATTTTTATATTCAAATTTGTATTTGTTTGTCCTGGTGACAGAAGTGATCTGGAGTGACAACTGAGTCTTATTTATTGTCTAGTCTTGATTGGATTTGTGTATCTGTAATAGTCTAACACCATTTAAAGGTTAAAAATTAGTGGTAATATACAATGCATAATGCAAAGTTTATGAAAGCTTATTTACATTTGAATGTTTGTAATGACCATCTTCCATAATAACTTTGTTGGCAAAATGCCTTGTTATCAAGCTAACCAAGTGTATCCCAGTAGAATGCATGATAATTGCATTGGGTTGGCTTGGAAATTTAGATCTGTCACTGAACCTTCCATACAAGTTTATCTATTTAATTCACATTCCTGCAGGACTCTTTCTTGTGAAAAGTTCTTCAGTATTATTGGAATTATATAGAACTTTCCCCAAGAATATACTTGCCAAAATTAGTTTCTATCAATTAATAGAAGAAGCTACAGTTCTCTGAACCCAAAGTTGTGGCTTCAGAACACTCTATTATATGAATATTCCATTGCAAAATCATGGCATTTTAGGAAAAGCAAATATTACAGGAAAGGAGGGAGAATCAAATACTGGTCATACAGATACATTATTTATTGTGCCTCTGCCTTAATTGACTACTAATATAAAAGTAAAAATATTTTTAGATTTTATTATGAATTCTAATCAATTACAAATATAATTTAAAATCATAAAGTAATATTTTCTACATAAATCAGAATGAAATTAATCTTAATTTATTTATGAGTAACACTTCTATTGGAAATTGAAGCTTTCATGATGTAATATCTCCCCATTAGCTCCGGAAAATAATCCATTTTTGAAAGACAGATGTGAACAAGTTATATTTAATTGTGGTTTATATGCTACTGTATATATTATCTATAATATTTTTCATGATAAATCACCCTATCCTAGAAATCTATCCAAATTCTTGCAATAATCTTTGTTAAGATAACCTTTCTGGTCAATAAAGAGTGGGGAAAATATATTTTTCTCATTCTGACTTGAATGTATGATCTGTCTTATATGCAAAAGCTCTTTTCTTTGTCTTCAAATCTGATGCTGAATCAGAAATTGGCCCTGAGGTACTGAACGTTAATATAAAAGTATTTAAGGTGTACTAAAAAATATTTCCTAGTAAAGTTAAGATTCTAGGATCTACCTTTGAGAGTGAAGAGGCAAAATTGTCTATTTCAGGAATAACATCAAATATACTTTGATGTAAAATTGGCACTAAAATAATTGATTTGTGTGTGCATTGTATAACCAAATGTCTTAATTCTTTTGTTTTACTAATCCAATGTTTCTTCTACCTAATGTTTTTAATGCCATGTTCTATCTTCCTAAGGACAGTGGGTAATAAGGTGAGGGAATTTTAATTTCTTCACATTATTTTCATTGCAGTTAAAATTCATTTACTTGCTACTTGAAACCATTTCATTAGCTGTATTCACAACTGTTATAAAAACATACTTCATAACAAATGGCATGCTACCCAGTTAGCTTGTAAAATCAGTCTTATATGGAAATGTAGATATTTACCTATACATCTGTGATTGTTCTTAGATGTTATTGCTGTGAAGAATTTTCCAGCTATAAGAACAGGCTTCTGTCTCTCAGATTTATTCATTTAACTATTATTTAACTGTAGCCATTCCAGTTGCAGTTCATGTTTAACTAAGTAATTTAAAACATGCTGTTTAAGATTGAACCAAATGCATATAACACAGTATATTATTAGTTTTGGCAGAAATGAATTTGATTTTGCTGCTAGTTAGTACTGAAAATTCTTGCTTGCTTATCTCAGATGATGCAGGGATCATATTGTTATATTGTTATTGATTATCCAGATTTTATTCCAAAACAAATTAGTCCATAAGAACTCTGTCTATAGAGGTAAAATTGATAGCAAATACCATACCAAATGTGTTGTAAAAGATATTGAAGAGTCTGTTTGTTATTTGACAACAGTGAGGTCAGTAGAATACAATTCCCATATAAATGACTATAGAAAAGCAGCCATAGCATGTTGAATTGGCATATACAATGAACTCTGAGCTCACTTTAGCTAAAAAAAAAAATCAATATGCTATAAATTATTTATATTAAGCAATTCAAAGCTGTATTTTAAATTATGTTATTCAATTTTATAAATAGGTCTTATTTTGCTTCAACAATGTGAGAATAGAATCCTCTGGCTCCTTCAGAAGTACTTTTATTTCATTTTATCAGATTAATTAAATTGATGGGAAGAAGGAAGTGTAGTAAAGTTGAATTGTTTTGGTACTAGGAGCAAAGAGAAAAAATGCATTAGGAATATCAGAAATTTTACTTACAAATACTTATCAAAACTTTCCGCAAAAAATTGGGTGTTCCTTAACTTCTAGGAAATTCTGTGAGTTTTATTTTCCTGAGAAAGGACTTTTGTTCACACATATAGTTTCTTTTCTTTGTTTTCTATTTGTAAGGGGAAGCAACAAGATTTCTTGAACATTACTTGTCTCTTTCTAAAACCATTAAACTACAATACTCTGTATTACAAATTTAAACTGGATAAACTGTATACTTTTGACAATATATTACTGTATATATGGTAATATATTACCATATATTACTAATATATGGAGTAGTTGCTAGTGTAAAATATATTTGCATAGTTCTCTTTTTTTAAAAAAAAACCTTCTATTTTAGGTTTCGCAAAACAGTGGTTTTAGAACATTTTCTCTATTAATCAACAGTATCCTAAATTTGGAAATTTGTTTCTTTTGCTACTCTTTGAATATCACCAATACCAAGACAACATTGCTTAACTTGTGCTTGGTAGATTTATCTGTGGCACATAAATATTGCAGTTACAAAGCAGAACCAAATATAGGAAATGTGGTGGAATCTACAGCTAGATTAGAGGGAGGCATTAAGATGGGCCTGGAATTAAGAGACCAATAAGCAGCACAGGCCAGATCTCCCCCAGAATCCTTGAAGCTTTATCTTGCCATTCCAAAGGGAATACAATCAATCTGGTGAGATTCTTAAAATAGCTGACTAGCAATAAAGTATTGTTGAGTCTCTTCACAAGTGGTTCAGGTAGTCTTCATATGACAGAAATGGAAAAATTTGTATGTTCTTTCTCTGACACCAACTTTTGTTTTCCTCCAGACATCTCAGCCAAGCCCTGGTGGTCAGTCTGCATGCAGCAGCGAACAGTCCTCCATCAGCAACTATGCCAACAATGGGATCGAGCTTAATCTGACCAGTAGAGGTAGTGTAGGAAACCTCAGCATTATTGATGAAACACCTATCATGGATTCTACAATTTCTACAGCAACCACAGCTCTTGGCTTACAGGCCAGGAGGAATATGACTGAGACCAAGTGGATGGAACAAGTCAAGCTAGAAAAGTTAAAGCAAATCAATGGAGTGCTTCCAAGACTGAACCCCATGCCATCTTCCAAAGCCCCAGCTTTGCCACCCCTCATAAGAAATGGTAAGATGTGTCCATTTAATATAATTATTTGAATATATCACCTCGGTGTTTGAGAGTTCATTTTTCAAAAAGAGAAAGTAAAAATAATATAATTGAAATGGGCACTGAAAAAAATTTTCCATTCTCTTAGCAATGGAAATTAGTCTTTTTTTTTTAATTTTTATTATATTTTTATTGTTATAGAATAACAGAAAGAAAAAAAAATACAAAAATCAATAATAAGGAAAGAAAAAAAAATTCCCCCCACCCTGCTATACAAACGGAAAGGAAGTTTTAGGAAATTGAAGTCTTCAATTCTTCCAGAAATCTCTTTGATAAGGTACTGGTGCCAATTCATCCAATCTCCCAAGTGCAAAGTCCACAAATGGTTGCCAAGTGTTCCAAAAAACATTTTCTTTGTATATACCACTTCTAATTTTAATATCACAAGTCAATTTATCATTTAATGCAAATTTCCATGTTTCATTATACCATTCTTCTAATTTTAAGTCAACATTTAATTTCCAATATCTAGCAATTATAATTCTCCCCATTACAACCAAAATCCTCACCAATTCTCTTTCTCCAGTTGTTAATGTTGTTTCATTCAATATTAATAATAATATGGTTTCCAATTTCAATTTGACCCTTTTCTTAATCATTTCAATATTTCATTTTCTATCCTAGACCAAAAAAGTTCAACCCCATTACATTTACACTACATATGAGCATATGTCCCGAGTTCCACTTTACATCTCCAACACATTTTATCCACTTTATTATCCATTTGAAAAAGTCTTATTGGGGTCGAATACCACTTCCAAATGACTTTATAGTTATGTTCTTTAATCCTTATTGATAATGTCCTCATTATTCTACTAACCCAGTTCATATTCCGATTTTGATCAGAAATTTCAATACCCAGTTCTTTTACCCAATTCTCTTTCATTACCCTTTGTGAATTATTATCAAAGTTAATAATTTTATAAATTTTACTAACTAATCCCTTTGGCCCAATTTCATCTTTTATTATTCGAGGTGTCAAATTTTCAAATTCCGTTTCCTTTCTACTCTCATCATTCCTTTCTTTACATTTCCTATTCCATTTATTCATTTGAATTCTTTCAAACCAATTAATGTTTAATTTTCCATAAATTTCCTCTTTCCTCATTTCATTTTCTATAAATTTCAACCATTCACTAATTGTTTCCACTTTCTCTTCTATTATAATCCTCTCTCTGTTACTATTTGATTTCATTGGGCAATTCTCTTTCAGTTTACCTAAATACAATACGTCTGGTATTAATTTTTTTACTACTCTGTCCCAATTTTTAGTCAAACTATTTAATCAGTAATTACAAATTTTAACCTTATCTTTAAAATTTTCCCAAAACCATTTGTATCCAAACTTCTTTATTTCCTTCATTTCCAAACTACCCCAAAGTTTAACATCTCCTTTTAAAATTTTTACTACTGTTTTTATATTAAATGCTCTCTAATAGTTTAATAATTTTGGAATTCCTAAACCACCTTGTTTTTGGTTCTGATACCATATTTTCTTAATCAATCTTGGTTTTTTATCCCCATTACAAAATTTATCTAATTTTTTTTTTTATACTTCAATGTCCTTCTCGGTTAAAAAAATCGGAAGCATCTCGAATAAAAAGTTAAATTTAGGAAGTAACATTAGTTTACATAAAACTACTCTACCAAACCAAGATAACTTTAATTTTTTATATTTCCCAATTTTCTCTTCAATTTCTTTTATTACTATGTCATAATTTAGTTTCTTTAAATTTTTAATTTTAAGTGAAAGTATAATACCTAAATATCTTAAATTATCCTTTATCCTAATTCCAAATTGATTTTGTAATTTTTCTAATTTGTTTTCCCTATCAATTTCCATTAATAATTCTGATTTTGCCCAATTTACTTTCAAACCAGTCATATCTTCAAATTCTTTCAAATGTATTTGAACTCTTTTTATATTATTTGTAATATTATTTAAAATGACAAGAGTGTCATCTGCATATAAATTAACTTTGATGCCTTTATAACCTATTAATTCTGAATCCTCTTCAATCAAAGTTGTTAAAATTTCCATTGCTAATAAAAATAGGGTCGGAGACAGGGGACAACCCTGTCTCATCCCTGCTTCCAAATTTATATCTTGTGTAAATATACCATTTACCTTCACTCTTTCCATACCCCTCTGGTACAATTTGGAAATAATATGAATAAATTTATTACCAAATCCTAATGCAGAAATCATTTCTTTTATAGTATCCCATTGTATAGAATCAAAGGCTTTAAAAATATCCAAGGCAAGAATACCTATCTTGTCACCATTATTCTCAGCAATATCAATAACATTTAATACTCTTCTAACTAAATCACACATATAAAGCCCTTTAACAAAACCTACTTGATTATGGTTTATATATTTATCTATAAAATTATTCAATCTATTTGCTACAATTGCAGTAAATATCTTAGCATCTTGGTTAATCAAGGAAATGGGCTGATAGGATTCAATCTTCTAAATCTTTACCTGGTTTCGGGATTAAGGATATAATTGTTCTATTCCAGGACATGGGAATATCACCTCCATGTAATATCTTATTATACAATTTCTGTAGTTTTGGGATCAAAGTTTCTTTAAACTCTTTATAAAATTCTGCTGGTAACCCATCCTCACCTGGAGATTTTCCAAGTTTTAGCTTCTGAATCACATCTTTAATTTTCTCAGAGGTAATATCCTTTTCCATTTTTTCTTTATATTTATTATCAATTTTCTTCTGACCATATTTTTCTAAGAAATTTTTTAATTTACAATTATCAATTTCTTTTTTAAGATACAATTCTTGAAAATTTTTAACAATTTCACATTTCTCTAATTTTTTATAACGTCTCTTACCTTTTTCATCTATTAGGACACCTATTTCTCTTTTTTCTTTTTTATCTTTCGCCATTCTTGCTAATAATTTTGAATTTTTATTACCATATTCAAAAAATTCTCTTTTTAAATAGCTTAATTTTTTTTAACTATTTCTGTATCTTCCACTATTAGTTTATTTTTCAATTTTTTAAGTTCCTCCCATAATTTCCTATCCTTAGTCACTAAAAATCTATTTTCCAGTTCTTTTATCAATTTCTTCTTTTCCTCTATTTTTACTTTATAATTCTTATACTTCCTACTTGATAATTTAATACTTTCTCCTCTAAAAATTGCTTTCATTGTGTCCCAAACTGTTCCATAATTGACTTCCCCATTATCATTCCAATTCCAATTTTCTTCCCATTTCTTAAGAATACGATTCTTATCTTCCTCGTTTTTATACAATTTTTCATCATATCTCCAATAATTTTCTTTTTTCTCCAAAAACATATCTAATTCTAGTAACAATTCTGCGTGGTCAGAGTCTTTAAATATTCCAACATCCATATTATCCACCTTATCCATCAGATTCTTGGATACAAAAATATAGTCAATTCTTGAATATGAATTAAATACCTTTGAATAAAAAGTATACATTCTTTCATTACCTTTAATCTCCCTCCAAACATCTACTACACCATTTTGCAACATCCAATTATCAAGTATCCCCATTTTTCTTATTCCACCATAGCGGGTAGGATTGGTACTATCCATCTGGTTTCTAATTAAATTAAAATCACCAGCAATAATTACCTTCCCTACCCTTTCAATTTGCAACAAATCGGTAATCTTATTCAAAAAATCTTTTTGATTCACATTTGGTACATATAAATTAACTAATGTTATTTTTTCCTCGTTAAGGAAATATTAGTCTTAAAATGGAAAAAAATAATTTAAATAAAATCAGAGCTAAAATCATTTGCTCTACATAGTTATTTGATTTCAACAAATAGTTTGATTTCAACAAATATAGAAATCTTGGCAAGGATTCCATGGAATCCTTGGAATCCTTCCATGGAATCCTGAAGGGGAAAACAACTCAAGCAGCTTTGGAAAATGAAAATTGAGATACTAAAAGCTCAGTTTAGCATCATACCACTAAAAAAGAAAAATAGAAAAAGGAGACCAAACAAAACCACCATAGTTGAATAAAGAAGTCTGATAAATTGAAACACAAAAAGGATAAATATAAAAAATGGAAAAAGAAACACATAAATAAAGCAGAATACCATCAAATAGCTTGAATCTGCAAAGAGGAAATCAGGAAAAAAGACTTGCAGCAAATGTCAAAAATATTTTTTAAAAGTTTCTTTCAATATGTGGAAAACAAGAAAAAGGAAAACAAGAAAACAATGTCCACTAACGGGGGAAGATGGGAAGAAGGTAACAGGTAGCAAGGAAAAAGCAGAACTGCTTAATTCATCCTTTGTATCTGTCTTTACAAAAAAGGAAAAATGATTTTATCCCAAGAAAAGCAAGACAATAAAAAAATATTAGGAATACAAATAAAAATAAGTCAAGAAAATGGTAAGATAAGCCCTATTAGTCTAAACCAGGGGTATCAAATTCAAGGCCCATGGGCCGCATCCGGCCCATGGGGTGCTTAAATCTGGCCCATGGGACCGGCCTGGAAATGTCAAAGGACCGGCCCACAGTGCTTCAGCCAGGCAAAACAGGCTGTGTGCACCTCCCCCCCCCCAACCACAGCCTGGTTTTGGCCTCCTGCAACACTCTGCCAGCCAAAAATGGACCACGCGGAGATTTCCGTGCGGCCCATTTTTGACCTGCGGAGTGCTGCTGGAGGACATAGAAGGAAAAAATGAGGCGCAGGGCCGCACACACACCCCCATGCCCTGTTTGGCCAGCAGGATGCTGCAGGAGGTGTCCATCCCATTTCCGTCCCCGCACCCCCTCTCCACCAGCCAGCGGAAAACTACAATGCTGATCCATCCTTCAAAGAAATCCAATTTGACACCCCTGGTCTAAGCTAATTTGAATCACCAGGATCATATGCATCCCAAGGTTCTGAAGAAACTGGCACACATGATTTCTGAAGCACTTTACCATGTCTTTCAAAAATCCTGGAAGACTAAAAACTACCAGAGGACTGGAAGAGATCTAAAAGATTCCAATCTTCAAAAAAGAAAAAGAAAAAAAGATTCCGGAAACTACAAACCAATCTTCCTGATGTCGGTACCTGCAAGATCCTGGAAAAGATAATCAAACACAGCTGTGCAAACACCTAGAAACAAGCAAATTACTAGAAGCCAACATGGTTTGTCAAAAACAGATCATGCCAGATAAACCTTATTGCATTCAACTGAATTAGTGACTAAATTAGTGGATCAATATAAATCCATTGATTAAATCCATTTTATTTTTTTATCTTATTTTTACTGCTCGTATAATTTCTGATTTAAATTCATCTACAATTTAAAAAAGAAATATTTGATATAGAGAAAAAGCTAAAAGGATAATTTTATTTTTCTTTACTTTGTATGAAACAGGACTGAAAGTCCAGCTGCTAGATCCATATGCCATTCCAGCATTCTGTGTCCATTCTTAACTTGGGGGGCGGGGTTGGGGTGTACTGAATTCAGATTTTTACATGTGACAAACAGGTATCATTAATTGGCTGTTAGGAAGGAATGCTACATACAGATTTCAGTATCAAATTTTTGACAAGTTGCAGGTCAGTGAGAAGCATCGTTGGTGGCTTCTTCTTAATATACTGTACTTACATTTGGAAGCATAGCAATACTCAGTGTGATTGATTTACTTGCTACTGAAAGTAAAATGATCTAGCCACAAGTTAACATCACATAAAAAATAAGGTGCAATTATGCTACATGGACTTCAATTTATAATTATGATATGTGTAGGAGAAGGAATGGCAGAACCTGGGGGCAGAATGAAAGGAAGGATTGGTCTAGAATTCCTATGAAGCCACAAAGTTCAGCCTCCCTTAAATGCTGTTGATCCTTGTCTGACTTTAACCAGATGCAGACTGTTAGTTGAGAAGATTCCTACGCATCAGCTTTTAACAATAAATCAGTTTAATTGAATCTTCACATTTGGACCTGGTCTTCTGTATTTGACATTTTGTAAATGACTTCTGAACAATATGTAACAATTCTGAATGCAAAAGTCCATATACAAACCAGTTTCAGTACCACCACTGCTACAGAACTGCTCTGATTTCTAGTACTTACAAGTACAATTCAGGGTGCCAGTCAATATCTTTAAATCCCTTTGTGGCTTGGAGCTGGTATTTAAGAGACTATTTTTCTCAAATAGTTTTTGCCTATCTAATCCAGGTAGCCAAAGAATCTCTACTAAAGATTGTCCTTACTAACAGGAGGGGCAATTGGATATCCTTAGTGACATTTTACTATCTATGATACGGTTTGCCTCCTAAGGTGAGGATTGATTCTCGGACCTAGAAAATGTTAGCTTTTCTGAAAGGGTTTGGGGCATTTCTCCTGATCAGTTTTTAATATAACACACTTCCTTTTCTTATTCTTTTCAGATATTCAGTCAACTAGCAGCTGCAGCATTGGAGGAAACATGACCATCTTAACCAAGAAAAACGAAGTCACAAATACAGATATTACTATACTGAACATGCTAAACAGAAGGGATAGCAGTACTAGCACAATCAGTTCAGCCTACATGAGCAGTCGTAGGTCCTCTGGGATTTCACCTTGTTTTTCCAGTCGTAGATCCAGTGATGCTTCTCACGGGGACAGAAGGCTTCACAGTGTTGCCGATTCCTATGATCCCATTTCAACTGATGCTTCAAGGCGATCCAGTGAAGTTAGCCAATGTGATGGCTTGCCTGGACTTCTCAGTCTTACTCCTGCAGAACAATACCATCTGAAAGCAAAATATGCAGCAGCTATTGGTGGACCTCCACCAACACCACTTCCTAATATGGAGAGGATGAGCTTGAAAACAAGAATGGCGCTATTGGGTGATTCTAGGGAATCAGGGATGTCACCCTTGCCTCCAATAAATTCTCCTCGAAGATGTAGTGATACTGGGACAAATAGTAACAACAGGAGACATCTACTGCCTCATGATATATTTGGGAATAGCACAAGGAGAGCTAGTGATCCTATAAAACCAGTCTCAGATAATCTGTCTTTTCCAAGAATCCACCGTTTTAACAGTTTCAACAGCTTTAACCCTCCTGTTTTGCCTCCATCCATTGAAAAACAGAACTTCATCCTGAAGAATTACACACGCCCAGATGTTGGTTTGTTCCGGAATTTATGTTCCCCTTGCCCTCCCGGTATTTCTGAGAATGTGGCTATGGAAGCTCCTATTACAGAAGCAGATGGTTGTCTGAATGATGAAGATCTGTTACCAGATGATGTGGTCCAGTATTTGAATTCTCAGTATCAAGGTTTGTACAACCAAGCGCCAAATGATGAACTAGACAACAACAAAGAACATCACAATCCAGCAATGGAAAACAACAACTTTGATCAATCTCCTCCAATAAGCAATTCTCAGAAAAATGACCTACCAATTCAGTGGAATGAAGTAAGCTCAGGAAGTTCTGATCTATCTCTATTAAAATTAAAATGTAGACCACAGTCCTTAATACAGCAAACTATTATAGCCCCCTATAATAACATGGTTATCCAGCAGCAGCTACAGCAGGCACTGGAGAGAAATGGTACTACCCAACAAAATGGCTATCAGCATCTTGCAGACAACAATGTCTCTTGCAGTATGGAGCAGAATGTAATCATGAACAAGAGTGATACAAGTTCTTACCACATACACTCAAATAAATCACAGCTATATAGTAATAAATTTGGCAGACAACCTGTGGAAAATGTCTGTGATGTGATGAATCAAGCTGAAAAGCTGAGAAGCCATTTCATGCTAACTAGTGGAAGCCAGCAAAATTTTGGCTATCATGTGATGCCAGATGAGCAGTCTGCCAATGCAATTAACAAGATGCAGAGCAGAAATATAGTTTTTGAGGAATACCTTTCTAATCAGTCAGAAGATAAAGCGAGCCATTGCCAAGAAGCAAGACCTTCCAATAAAATGATAAAGCAAATTATAGTTCCCTTACAGCCTAGCTGTCAAGATCTGCTGTCTCAGAATGGGACCCACCCATCAGTTCTTGCTAAAACCTACCAACCCTATTCCAACCACTATGGAGACAGATGGCAAAACACTTTAAGGAACAACATGGTGAGGCAACCTGGACTTCTAATGGATCCAAACCAACCACACAGGGTCACTGGTATCAAGGTAGAATCTCAAGGTCAGTTACAACAATTCTGCTCTAATGTGCAGAATCATTCTGGTCAGTTGTATGACCAAACCACAGGGTTTAAACAGCAAGCTCTGAAAGCAGAAGTTTTTTCCCTTTCAGAAGCTAATTACCTAATACAAGAGGTAGCTATTGAAAGCACATCAGAGCTTCTCTCCCCAGGGGTCAACCAAGTGACAAGCACAGTTGACAGCATTGACACAAGCAGCCTTGAAAGTGTGCAAATTGATTTTGATGCTATTATAGATGATGGTGATCATGCCAGCTTAATTTCAGGAGCTCTGAGTCCAAGTATCATTCAGAATCTATCTCGCAATTCTTCCCGTCTTACCACTCCCCAAGCATCTGTTACATTCCCAGTTATGCCCATAAGTACAACCAATATGGCTATTGGGGACATGAATTCTTTGTTGACCTCACTTGCAGAAGAAAGCAAGTTTCTTGCTGTTATGCAATAGACCTAAAAAATTTAGGGTATTACAATTTTTAAAATGTGATTTTATTTTTTTTTATTAGTTGTCTTAAGTACTTTAACAGTCTCATCTCAACTAAATGAGATGTGTTTCAAGTATATTCCTTTTATGGAATTAGAACTCTGAAAAACCCTAAAGTGTTCTAGGGAGAAACTGTCTTCCGTTTCAGCTTTGAATCAGTATTGTTACACATGCCATCCCCCCTTTTCAATTATTATTTTTTTATATGACTTTATTTTTGTAATTGTAAACCACTGTAAAAGTGTAATATGCATGTCAGCTTGTTTTTGAGGATGATCTAATATTACAATTTACTGATACTCAAAAGAAATTACAGTCTTGAATTATTATGGCCAAAACTCTTACTGTATGTAACCAGTTCCTAAGGCACATTTCTGAGGGGAAGTTTGAAATTCTATCCACCTCACTATAAACTTCATTGATGAAAATTGTTGAAAGCAAAGTAAATTAATTTATGGCATGGGAGGAGAAAATTAATACTTTTGAGTGGTTATTTCTTTTGCTCTATATCTATAATTTTTAAACTTTTATTTTTGAGGAAAAATCCCTTTTCTATATCATTTGCCTGCTGCAGAATTTTTCAGAATTTTCATGAAAAAAGTTGGCTTGCTCTGTTGGATTTCATCATTGTCATGTGTAAACTAACAGCATGATTAAGATTATAGTGGATTATATTACAGGGAGAAGATCAAATGCAATGAACAAAGTGCCATTCTGAGAATTCTGCTTATTGTTACATATTCTCACACTTTATTAATAAGCTTCCAAGAAACTCTAAAGTTGTCTAGAACTTAAGGTAGAAACCATTGGTCTAGATTGAGAGAATAGCAAAAATTAAACCTGAAATTTATTCCAATAAAAGTATTAAAATGGGGAAAGGGGAGAGTTAAGTATTAGATATCCTGCTCTTGTCAAAAATTAAGTTAGCTTTTTAGCCAGTGGAATATAACAATAAGCCTCACTTTTTTATACATTGTGATACATCTATTAGGATAAACATGTTACTGTTCATCTCTATTACAAATCTCCTTACTGAGACTTAAATTTAAATAAAATATGCACTTTTAAAGAAAGATTAGTTAACATTCTTGCCATACTTCTAAGGATTCAGTGTCTTTCAAAACTTGTGTTCCTTTTAATCAATTTACAATTGGAACATTAACCAGAGCTTCAAAATAATGTAATGGTACTATAAGTGTCTCACAATTGAAACCTCTGATAAAACTCCATTCTTGGAGACATAGGAAGAGTTAACACTTATTATTCTTGTTTCCTGATCCACATTTAGTTTTTCAGCAAACTACTGGCAAATGCCAGTCTGAAAATATCAAGTCTGATAATACAAACATACTATATAATACATTGATACATATAGTATTTAATATACCAAAAGCAAAGTCTGATCAAAGGAAGGCAATAGCAAAACAATAGCATAGTTGCTATGCCTGTGTGTTTAAAGAAAATAGGCAATTTTCCAGTACATTCACTGTTCAACATTAATATAGTAAGACCAGAATTGATAGTGCTTACACTGATTTACACTAATGAATATGTGTAGCTAATATACTTAAAACGTTACTCATTCTTTGAGCTTTGGCATATAGGTCATCATATTTTGATATCTCTTGTTATACTTTTATTATTCCAGATAATCCAGTTTCTTGAGTTACTTGGCATTTTCAGTTTATTTATTTATCTTATCTCTGCATTTCTCAAGTGCTATTTTAGTTATTTTTTAATGTTAGTATACATTCCAAAATAAACTAATCATAGTAAGATTCATTTATTTGATATTATGGTATTATATATACATTAGTGTATATACTTTATGGCAGCAAAGATTGCTTCCCAGTATTTCAGGCAAATAATGAAATGTTTGAAAACTCAGTTATGGAGATTGTTTCACAACTCAGGAGTTTTAATGAAGACTTTATTGTTCCATATTTCCCAAAAACTTCTATTGCTGTTGGACTGAGACTGTGCTGTTGAAGAAGTAGACTTTGCTAAACCGCTGTATAATTTCTTAGTTAATCAACTGGGTCAGAATTATAATACCATGTTTTCTGCATCCAATTTCTTATCGGTAGGACTCAGGAAATATTGCTGAACTGTACTTGAATCCTTTGATTGAATCCTGTCAAATGAGATATTTGGAGTGTTTTCATATAATTCATTTCCAGTAAGGCCTGGACAATTGAATTCTAGCCACTGCATTATACTAATTAAAATATTTTTTTCTGACTTTACAGATAGCCTATAACTTTTAAAAACACTTAACCACATGGATACCCCAAATTGTGATAACAATTTTGGCTGATAACTGGTGGATATATTTTTTGTTTGATTGCGGATATCCCTCTGGTAAATATTTCTATTTATTTTTATTATTTATTGTGTATTGGGTCCAAACTGGGTCTTACTTAAAATAGACATTGAAATCAGTGGGACTAAATAATTAAGTCGGAGTTCCAATACAAAATAAATAATATTGCATATCTTTCTGGGTTTAACAATAGGTGCAGAACAATATAAAATTAATGTGAAAATTGTAATTTACCCATTGCAGCTTTTGTGCAGACTAATACTTGTTTACTGAAAAAGCAACTAATCTAAGTGACAGAAGAAGCTACTTTTCCTACCATTCAAATGTTCTTTTATAAGGTCCATATAAAAGACATATGTATTTATTATGCTTTCATTTCCATTAAAATATTGCTTATTAAATTACACTGACAACAAAAGAAAGGACAACATTTTGAATTACTATCATTCCAATAATTCAATTTTATAAAATACGTATCTAAGACACATTTTGTTTTCTTGCATATCTGTTGAGATGAGACAAGGTGTAAGCTTCTCAGTGCTGCTTGATAATTGCTGATGTTTTACTTTATGTTTCCTTAATTGAAGCTCTTCACAGAGTGGCCATTATTTCAATTCCTATAAGCTGGGCTTGGGAAATATTAAGGTGAAGGGCGTTTGTTAGTGAGTAGTTGGAGCTTACTGCAAATCTGCTGCACCAGCTAACTCAATAGTCATGAGAAATTTATCTTCCCAAATGCTTATTAAAATAATAAAACTGAGACTCTTTCACAAGATTCCTAAATCCATTAGAATTTAGGTTGATTCTAAGAACCAGTGTTATATTAGTAATGTATTATATGCATAATTTCTGTGTGACCTAATTCTTCAGAATGGTTTAGATTACACATCTAAAGCAGAAATAATTAGTTATATACCTCATGCTATGCATCACCTAGTACTATGCATGCATCTTAATGGTACAGTATATGCAGTTTTCCTAAATCGGGGTGTCAAATTGGCAGCCTACGGACTGTATGTGTCATGCGCAGGCCATGCCCACCATAAAGGGGGAAATGTCACGAAACGTCACATGATGGCAACGTGATGCCGCACATTTGACACCCGTGGCCTAAATAATAACCATTACTAGCTCAGCCAGTTATAAAAGTGGGTTCCATTTGTGAATTTGGTAGGAATTTTAATAGCAGAAATCTTAACTGGATAATGTAAACATTATTATAAATCTATCTTTCCAAACTTTGTGCCCTTCGAATGTATCTAAGAATAGTATCCTTCTCTAAATGACTGAGACTATATTTAAAAATACCTAGAAAGAATCACATTTGGGAAAGTTGCTATATCCATTTAATTTCTGTCATCAGAAACTGGGTGTTGAGTTTCTGAAATCAAATGAAATGTTGCTGGATACAGTAGTTTAAGGTTTTTTTAATGAATTATTTTCCTTTATTATCTGATATAATATTGTCACTTATGTACAAGTAGGTATACTTGAATTAATAAAAGATATGTCTGGATATGCCTAACTTGTCAATCTAGAGAAGCACTGAAGAAATAAGTCTGAGAGATCATTGAGAGTTTTAACGAAATACAGCTAGACTCATATAGAAAAGAACTTTCCAGAATGGAATGTAACCTAAAACTATGCACTTAAATATCAAGACAGCAATGTATACTTTTATTCTTACTAAAAGGAAATTGTGATATGGTACTATGTTCAAAAATGCTGGTTTCTTGCTTTGGTTATGTTTTTTAGATGTCCTCTTTTCATTTTTTTAAAAAAGCTGTGTTTCTCTTCCTGTAATAGATGTGCCTTATTCTTAATTAATCTGTTGTTGTTTTTTTTAAAAAAGTTGGGGGACCAAAAAATAGTGCCAAACTTTAACTGTAAAGCTTTGCTTTCCATAATAGCTTTACTGCTCTTAAGAAGATTGTCTGAATACTGTCCTGTGACTCTTGGGCATTCATGTGTCATTATCTATGTAGGGTTTGAATATCTTTCGGGGGGAAGTTATCGTGTCAATCTGCAGATGTGTAAGATAGTATATGTGTTGGGGTGGTATTTTCTTTTACTTTTATAAGTGTATTTTTTTAAAAAAAGATCAATGTGTAAATACATTTACATATAGTAGGAATAGCATTAAATATAGAAGATCTTAGTGGTCTTCATTTGATAAATTTGCATTCATAATCTAGTGTTCTTGGCGCCTTAGATCAGCCTAAACAGTCATAGTGTGGTGTTCAAAGGCTTTCAAAACCATTTAGTTCTTTTGTAATGAGGGATAAAATGTTTATTACAATGTCAATAAAACATTTGTACTTAAGATTTCATCTTGAATGTTTATTTCAGAAACTAGGGGCAAGTCTATATTATAGCTAACATAATACTTTCCTGCTTTTCTTCCTGAAGGAAGGAAATGCTTTAATTGATCTCCTCCTTAATACAAACTAATAACAGAGGTGATTTTCCTACACCTTGAATCATAAACCAGGATAAACTCATAAATTGGGATGATGATCCTGTAGAATGGCCTTAGTAACTTTGATTCAAGTGGCCAAAGAACAGCAACTTCTTTTGAGGGGATAAAAACAATGTTAGAATGTAAAAATAATTTTAATTAGAAATGAGAAAAAGTAAAAAGTTATTTTAAATATAATCAATATACCTATATACCTATATAGGTATATAGTCAAATACCAACTCTATTACCACAGAGTGAAATAAGCTATTTAGTGGCTTATAAATCAAATCAATCTATACAGTCATGGGCCAGCAAATAAAACATAAGATAAAAAGGAAACTGTAAGTCTAAAATAACTGAAAAAGATTAAAATTAATACTATGGAGTATTATGCAGGTTATAAAACAGTACTTGGCAGTGGTCAAGGAAATAAAAGCAGATTGATATGTTAATAACATACTGAGATAAAACAAATCAGAATGACCAGAATGTTTAGTAAAGAATGGAAATAATTTCTGGCGAGCATCTGCATAGTAAGGGCAATATAGAGTAATGTTTCATCAATTCACTTATTCCTCCATTGCACGGACATGCTCTCTATTTGAAGGGTATATTTTTTGTGTGTCTTCCTTCAATGAAGATATTGGGAGGACATTGAAACTGGCTAAAGAGAAGGCACTCCTGAATTTTGGGATCATTATGTGACTGAAATACATAGCTGTTTGGCGAAACTGTGTAAAGGGACTTAAGAAGATGTGTCTGGATAGAGTGGGTAGTCTACTTGCAGCACTAAATCAATGGCACCTTGTTGAATCACCTAGTGCACATTAATAACCCATGAAGGTAATGGCTGGCCATGAAAAGTCATAAATGTATAATTTAGCATGTATTGGCTGGCTTCAGGAAGAATGAAAGCTGTCAATCATAATTAAAGGGGTCAAGCCGACTGGAAAAAAAGAAAGCTTAATTCAGTAGGAGAAGATGAAAATCCAGACAGAAGTTTCAGTTTTAAGTAGGCCAGTTTCAAGACAAAAGACCATGTTCAGAAGGCAATGATATGCTTGAAAAATGATTTTCAAAAACGTAAACTCTTTCCAAAGGAAGGCGTGATCTGTAAGATTTATGGGCGCACATAGCTTGAGAAAAATAGATTAGATATATAAAGATCTTGACTTGCTCGATTAAATATTATTTAGTCCCCAGACCAGCCATTTTAGGGTGCTTAGCAAAAACTATGATTTTGGTTTAATTTCCAGGCATTCGTCTTGGCAGTGTTCAGCTAGTATATTGAAACAACTATTTCAGGCCAATCTGTGTTTGAGAAAGCAATAACAATAGCACTTAGGCTTATATACTGCTTCATAGCATTTTACAGCACTCTCTAAGCCAGGGCTGTCAAACTCCCAGCCCCCGGGCCAGATGCGTCACACACTGACCATGCCACGCCCAGTTTAGTGAAGTGGAAAAAAGTTCCAATACATCACATGCCACTGCCGTGATGAAATGAGTTTGACACTCCTACTCTAAGCAGTTTACAGTGTCAGCATATTGCCTCCAGCAATCTGGTTCCTCATTTTACTGACTTTGGAAGTATGGAAGGCTGAGTCAACCCTGAGCGGACAGGCTTGAACTCCTGCAGTGGCAGAGTCAGCTTGCAATATTGCATTCTAACCATGGCATCAAAGTAGCACCCCATCATTTGTCTATGGAAGAATACACATATGTCTATTCTCCAATGTTGACAAATGAAAACATGGGCTATTCAGTTTGTTGATAAAAGAGTATTAAAAATAAAGGAAGCTAGAATACATTTTGTCTTCACTCCCCCCTTAACAGAAATTTGTATGGTGCAGTGTCTTTGGGTTTTCATCACTTTCATTCATCACTTTCATTCATCACTTTCATCCAGGAGTTTTCTTGTATATAAGAATAAGTAATATTTTATCAATTGACAAAGTATTCTATTTGTCCCATAATTTGCATCTGGAGATGATATCAAAAGCAAATTTAAATCAATGAATGTTTTAGAGCATGCTTTAGAGGAGTATTTTTCAACTAGACGTTAGAGGGTTAAAGCGTGGTCAATGATTGAGTGGCTTTCTCTGAGCCAAAATATTCTTGGTCCTTTTTGACTCTGGAAGTTTCTGCAATCTGGTTTACAAGCAAGAACTGCAAGGTCCACAAATAGGCAAAGTAAAAGGAAATGAAGAAGCTACAGTGTCACCTCAAGCTTAATAATTGCTAATGAAAACAATTTTTAAAAAACCGGATAGTGGACATTACAGTACCTGGAGACATCAGAAGAGAAGAAAAAGAACTGGAGAAAAACATAAAATAAAAAATCTGCAAATAGAAGCAGAAGAGATGTGGCAAAAGAAAGCAAAGATAAAATCAATATTAATATTGATCTTGGATGCAATTCTAAAACGTCTAGAGTGCACTTGAACAGCATTGACAAATCATCATATGTCAATTGCAAAAAGCAACTTTACTTGGAACAGTTTACATCCTGTGACAGTACCTTTAATATTATTAAACAACATTTGCCTATCAGATACTCTTGGGAAAGACTTGATGGGTGCATAAAAATGTCAAATCCAGTCTAAGTATTTGGCTGACTGTGCAACTAATTATAATAATAATAAGGCATGAAATCTATGAAAACAGATAAAACTCTTTGATGATTATCACTTGAACAGTTTAGACCTATATTGGTGATAGTTTTCTGCTCCTTTTGATTTGGAGTTTTTTTTAATGATGCTTGTTCAATGTTTTCTGACCTGTTTTATTAAGGCTTAAATAACTCATTTTATATTGTATGTATATGAAAGTTATTATTCAATTTCCATGTTGTATGTTGCTGAAAAATATTGACATTATGAAAATTGCAGATGATATTCCTTCCCATTTTACACAGTCTGATTGTATAACAGTGTAACAAGTATATCACAATATTAAATTACTACTTGACATTTATTCAGAAAAATTGGAACTGTAGCTATTGTAAGGAAGCCTTTATTTGTGTAAATATTTATCAAATTGTTTATCTCAGTCACAATTGTTATAAATATTTGGCTAAACGGAATAAATAAATATCCTACTGCATTTATGAGGAAAATAAATGAGATCTGCTAAATTCCCAGATTTAAAATTGTAGAGTAGAGATTGTTTTTTTTTTAAGGTGGGAGAAAAAAAGAGGGTCACAAGTTTTTAAACTAATTGAATTACTGTAAAAAGTACTCAGATTGCCCCTATTTTAAAAAATACAATGCATTCAATTAACCTTGTCTTGATTTCATAGTTTAACCCTTATATATTATAAATATCTAAAACTCCCAAATTATTTTCAATATTGGTTCATTTCTTGGATAAACAGATCTGTCCTTTTTAAACAACTAAAGTTAAAATAGATACTTGTTATTTGTAAGAACTCTCGAATAAAAAATTGGAGTATATCTTTAATACAACAATTTGTTATCAGGGAAAAAATACAATAAAACAACATATCTAATTAAAAGTTTTTGCAATTGTATGACTTGGTGAAACTATTTGGCCACCTGGTATATGAATGTGGAGTTACAATTTCTTAAAAACTATGCATTTATCAATATCATTCTTAAATTTAGAAATGATTGGGGAAATCAGAGTACAACTTGGCCTTGATGAAAAATGACACACACTTGCTTATGAGTACATGAGCAAGAGTTCTGCCTCCCTTTACCCAAAAAAGCAAAGTGTTTTCAAATAAGGAATCCTAGAAAATATTCTTACCAGCAGTGCAGATGGAATGGCATTAAAGTAAGCTCCAGTAAAGGCCTCTTCATACAGTATTTACTTAGCATTAGAGTGATAGCTGCATTAGAGCTATCTGGTTTAGAGCTATCTAATATTTAACGATAGATATATTTAATGATAGAATTCATCATTAATTATTATAGCACACTGGTGCTATAATGTTGGTAGTTAATGCCCTTAATTTTTTCTTTTACTACTATATTGATTTGGCCTTCTTTAGGGTAATTAAAGATTCAGGGACAGGCCAATCCTACAGTTATATACAGCTATGGTGCCAGTGAGTTGATAGTTGTCTGACAACAGAAGAGGCATCAGTCCTGTAGAGTCAACATGATTCTGAATCCTGAGATTAGAACCTTAGTCCAGGCCTGAGTCTTAATACTTGGCACTAGGGGTGCTATTCAGCAAGTTCTGACAGGTTCTAGAGAATCAAAATCAGAAATTGTGAGTAGTTCGGAGAACCGGCAAATACCACCTCTGGCTGGCCCCAGATTTGGGTGGGACTAGAGATTTTGCAATATTCTTCCCCCAGGAGTGGTGAAGGAATGGGGATTTTGCAGTATCCTTCCCTGGAGTGGGGTGGGAATGGAGATTTTGCAATCCTTCCCCTGCCACACCCATCAAGCCACGCCCACAGAACAGTAGTAAAAAAAATTGAATTCCACCACTGCCTGCCGCGTTAGCTTCAACCTCACAATTACATCGACATAATATTTTGGGCTAAGGAAAATTGATTAGATGATTTCATAAACCCTCAGATTTGGGTATAGACCAAGTTATAACCCATATAATAGTCAGGCAACTATTTTAGCCATAAACAGTTTAATTGCTGCTGGATGTAATTTATCCTGTTAGTGTGAAATTTAATCATTGCTTGTGTGCTGTTTTGGGCAGTAAAAGTAGTGTAATTTATTTGGAATTGTTAATTTCCTAGAGGCCTGAAATACTATGCCCGAATATTTAAAATGTGTTTCTCTCATTCATGGGAATCAAAAAGAGTTGAAGGTTGACCATACTCAGAGCTACTATAGACATATCATTTGTAAGTAGGAATAGCAAGTTATAGATGGAGCAACTATTAAATGAATAGAATTAGGATTTATACAGGGAAAGCCAATGGAGCTGGGGATGTAGTTTGACAATTTGTTGTAAGGAATTATCTGTAGGATAAACAACTGGGAGATGGGGAATATGAAAGGAGCCTTCAACTGAGGATCCTCTGGGCAATGGTGATGTCACCATTCAATCCTTTCAAACTGGAAGTGTTTCAGCACTCCCAAATGACTAATAATCTGGAAGATTATGAAAAGATTGTGTTAATATTGAATAACTTTGTTAAACGAATAACCTTCATTTGCTTGAGGAAGTTTTGGGCTGGAGCACCTATCTTTTTTTGGTGCTGCACTATTTAATAACCTACTCAGTCATTTAGCTTCCAGATCTGAAAACTAAATGACTGAGTGGCTTATAGAACATGAGTGCCTCACTGGTAGGGGAGGCCCTGGGTTGCTTAGCCTAGGGCCAAGCCTTCCTGCTCCAGGCCTCCCAAGGCCTCCCTCCTCTCCCAAGGCACTCTGTGCTCTGCTTTCCACTCCTTGGGGTCCTCGTAGGCTTTAGGCCTGCTTTCTCATCCCACCAGATCCCACACTCTCCTCCTTCATCGATCACTCACCTATCTTTGGGAGATCTCCAGAATTCTGTAGATCTATAGAACTTAAGTGGCACCACTTCACCTTTGCATCCTAGCAGGCCCCTTGATATGGTGCCTCATTTAACAACCACTACAACTTGTCATCATAATGAGCAGCCTCCATTATGGTCATAAATTGAGGTCTACATGTCCATGATGATTTTAAATCTCCTTAGAAAATGTTTTAAGTTTAAAAATCATTGAGAAAAATGTAAAATGACTAAAAGTATTATTCTTTCAAGTACGTGCCATCTTGGTATCCAGGAGATTTCTATAAACTTAGTGGAATATACTCTGCAGGAAAGACGTTTTGAGAGAGAGAGAGAGAGCTACCCTCAGTAAGAGGATTAATTGCCATCAGAGAAAATTCCTATGTTGCTGCAAAACTAGCTTATACATGGCAATTTCCATATATGTAGAGTCATTTGCAGCCTATGGATTTTAAGTAAATTCTAGACCAACTAATGCATAACAGATTTTGTCATTATAACCTTAAGTTCATGTAGTTTCTGATTAGCATCTAGCAACTGGTCAAAAATGCAATAACTGCAGTTAAAAGTCAATTCTTAGCAACAAACTCCACATTCATATTCAAATTTAAAAATGTCCTCCCCCTTTATTTCCTACAGAAGCCTCATCATCTGAACAAGGGAAATCATTTACTTCCCATTTAAAAGGATGTATTAGTGATGATTGTGAAAGGAGAAGGGGAAGGAGAAGACTTGCATTCTATGTCCTTGAACTGGAACAATTCCTTCACTTTTAGTTGTTTGGAAGTTGCCACCGCTACAAAAATTTCAAATGGCTTACAATTTTATTTGTGACATTTGGAATACTCCATACTATACCATATTAAAAAAATATTGTGTTGTGATCATAAAATTAAATTAGTTCAACAAAACATTTTATTAGACATTAATCTACAGCATTTTAAAATGGTTAGCTATCAGTTTATGCTGGCAGTATAACAGGAACAAAGGGACATTTCATTAATTAATATGGTATTCTTAAGTGTATTAATGGGATGATATGATATGAATGTACATATGAATTATTTAGAACATTTTTGAAATTTATCACTTTATGAAGAACTATAGATTAGATGGTACAAATAAAACTTATTCCTGATAAATTGAAAGGCAATGAACCCTTGAGATTACAATCTTGGGTGGATGATATCTGTTAACTTTCTCCAAATGAACTGACCCCCAATGTAATAAATTACTCAACATTTTTCCATGTGACCAAGGCTTTGTATTGTAGTTTTACAATAAAGTAGAATTCATTCATCTGTTTGTGATTCTTCTCTGATTTACCCCAGGATCCCAAAACTATTTAATTATGCCTGTGTCACAGTGTGGACAGATGATTGGATGATGGACATGTTTTTATGCCAAGCATGTTTAAATTGAGTTACTGATGATTGACCCACTACCTCTGCTGGAAGTTGTTTCTCTTTTCCACTACTCTTTCTGTGAAGTAATATTTTCTAACATTACTTTTGAACTTCTGTCAGTTTGAGGTTATGTCCCGATGTTCTTGATTTTTGCTTAATATTGAAAATACTGCCTTCTAAAATCTTATTCACACCTTAAAATATTTAAATATTTGATAGAGTCACCTCTTTCCCCTTTCTTCTCAAGGCTGTACACATTTAGTTCCTCCAATATCTTTTGATACAATTTGTCCCTTGTACTTTGCACTATTTTTGTCTTATCATTAAAAAAAAAACAAAAAAAACCCGAAGGTCCCCAGAACTGGACACAGTATTTTAAATGGGATCTGATTAAATTGCTATATAATGGGATTAGCACCTTCTTTTTCCTGCTGGTGATTCCTCTAGTGATGTATGCCAAAATTGTGTTTGTCTTCATAGCTGCCTAGCTGCACTGTTTGCTCATTTTGCAGTCATCTGCTATGAGCACATCTAAATCTTTTTCTTCTGTTCTAACATTGTGCCACTAATACTGTATCCTGCCAAAGGATTTTTTCCCCTAAGTGCAGGATCTTAACATTTAGAAACATTGAACTCCAGTTACACGTTTTTGACTAATTTTCCAGCAATGCTACAGTAAATCACACCCACAGGAACATCATTTTTATTATTCACCTTTGTGTCATCAGAAAAAAGACAAACTTTAGTTAGAAATCATTCTGTTATACCACTTATAAACATATTGAACAGAACAGGATCTAGGACTGAGTCTTATGGTATACCAATTGTGACTGGTCTCTGTTCAGAAAGTGACCCATTAATAATAAACGATTTTATCTCTGAGCCAATTTCTATTCATCAAGCCTTACAACCTTTTTAATGAGCTTATTATATGGAACTGTATCAAATGCTTTGCTAAAATCCAGATAGGTATGCCCATATATGTTACGTCTCCTTTATTTTTCTACATATATCTGCTGTGAACCAGAATGGGTTCTCTTTCTTTTGCTTGTATTAATGTGCCTCACATAGAGACTAGTTGCCTCCAAGATGGCAGATTTTTTCAGCATCCACTGAGCACCGAACTATGTCACGTTATGTCATCCTTCAAGTTTGCTCCTCCATTTCAGTAAAATTTTGCTTTGAAAGGATGCAAAAATAGGAGTTTTTAATGCTTTTTACCTTTTATAATGAAGCTACTTACAACAGATATATACAGCACAATCTCATTGTTCACATAGTATTAGGTTTCCTCTTAAGTCTCCCTTCCAGAGGCTATCCCCTTCAGTTTCCCCCCCCCCCGCCCCCCACTTCTTTGTCGTCTCCTATTCTGGAGGAAAGAAAGAAATGGGCTGGATTTACTGTAGGTGGTCCTGTATCTGGTCAACCGATATTCTCAGGATCGTCTCCCATGTCCATACAGACACCAGAGTTTTGGCAACAAAAGATGATCCCCTCCTTTCTGTCTAATGTTGCCTGTAGGCAGCTGAATCCCTTCTTCCTGTCTTGGGTCTTGGGAAAAAGTGTCCCCCTTTTGGCTCTTTCCTTGTTCCAGGGAAGCCACTCAGGTACTTTTTCCTTCCCCAAGCAGAAACCCCCAACTATTTTGCATACTCATATAGCTTTATTCACAATTTATCTCTCCAAGCATTCCATTTTGCAGTTTTCTTTCTTCTATTTCTGTCCTCTCCTTGTCTCTCTCTCTCTCTCTCTCTCTCTCTCTCTCTCTCTCTCTCTCTCTCTTTCTCTTTCTAGACTAGCACCCTATCTCCCAGCAACTGAGGAGGAGCACTGATCCAGTACGAGCTGGATCAATGGGACTACTGTCTTTATATCTCTCTACAATAGTCCTGGCTAGCAGCCAGATCAGCTCATCGTCCCTCGTGATTGCATAGCTGCCTTGCACAACCAGAACTGAGCTCCTTTTCCTCACTTCATTTGCTGATTTGTGCTTGCAGAATAGTAGCCATCCCAGGCCACAGAATATAATAAGGATAAGGATAAGGATAATTTTATTTCTATACCGCCCCTCTCCCGAGGGACTCAGGGCTGTGTACAGCCAGGTAAAACATAATACAAATATCACAATTTAAATTTAAAAAATTCTTAAAAGTATTACATTTAAGGCCAAAATTAGCTAAAAAACCCAAAAAATTTAAGAACTCCAAATTTAAAACTCAATTATGAAGCTAGCCCTGCCTGTCGGAAGAGCAGGGACTTAAGAGCACAGCGGAAAACTCGGAGATCAGAGATCTTGTGTATGTCCGGGGGCAGTTCATTCCAAAGGGCAGGGGCTCCCACAGAGAAAGCTCTGCCCCTGGGTGTCGCCAGCTGATATAATTTGCCCGACGGCACCCTGAGGAGTCCCTCTCTGTGGGAGCGAACTGGTCGGTGGGAGGCTATCGGTGGCAGAAGGCGGTCTCGTAAGTACCCAGGTCCTGAGCCATGGAGTGCTTTAAAGGTGGTAACCAACACCTTGAATCGCGCCCGGAAGACCACTGGGAGCCAGTGCAGCTCGCGCAGGAGAGGTGTTACATGGGCGCAACGAGTTGCACCCATAATTACCCGTGCGGCCGCATTCTGGACCAGTTGGAGCCTTCGAGTGCTCTTCAAGGGGAGCCTCATGTAGAGAGCATTACAGTAGTCCAGCCGGGAGGTAACAAGGGCGTGAGTGACTGTGCGCAAGGCATTCTGGTCCAGAAAGGGATGCAACTGGCGAATCAGGCGAACCTGATAGAAAGTCCCCCTGGCCATGGCCGTCATATGCTCTTCTAAAAACAGCCATGCATCCAGGAGGACGCCCAGATTGCGAGCCCTCTCTGTGGAGGGTAGAGATTCACCCCCTATAGACAGCGATGGCATCAGCTGACTATACTGGGACGCCACTCGTCTTGGAAGGGTTGAGTCTGAGCCTATTTCTCCCCGTCCAGACCCGTACAGCCTCCAGGCAGCAGGACATCACATCAAGGGCATCATTGGGGTGGTCTGGGGTGGAGATGTACAGCTGAGTATCATCAGCATACTGACACTCCTCACCCCAAAACCACGGATGATCTCACCTAGTGACTTCACATAAATGTTGAACAGAAGGGGCGAGAGGACCGACCCTTGTGGCATCCCCCAAGCGAGGCGCCTCAAGGTCGACCTTTGCCTTCCTGCCAACACAAACTGCGAGTGGTCAGAGAGGAAGGAGGAGAACCACCGCAACACTGTGCCTCCTATTCCTAACCCCTCAACCGCTGCAGCATGATACCATGGTCGATGGTATCAAAAGCCGCTGAGAGATCTAATAGACCAGAACAGAGGAACAACCTCTGTCCCGAGCCCTCCAGAGATCATCCACCAATGCCATTTCCATACTGTACCCATCTGAAGCCCGACTGGTAAGGGTCCAGATAGACAGCTTCATCCAGGTACGGGGGGGAGCTGTCGTGCCACCACACTCTCAACAACCTTCGCCACAAAGCAAAGGTTGGAGGCCGGACGGTAATTTGCTAATACAGCCAGTCCAGGGAAGGCTTCTTGAGGAGGGGCCTCTCCACTGCCTCCTTCAAGGTGGCAGGAAAGGTCCCCTCACTCAGAGAAGCATTTATAATCCCCTGGAACCAGCCTTGTATAACCTCCCAGGAGGCCAGTACCAACCAGGAGGGACACGGGTCCAATAAACATGTGGCAGCACTAAGCCTTCCCAGAATCCTGTCCACATCCTCGGGAGCTACAGGGTCAAACTCTTCCCAGATAATGTTCTCAAGACCTACCCCCATTTCCCCCCCGGACTCACCCAGTCGGAGTCCAAGCCTTCCCGAATCCAAGCGACTTTATCATGCAGGAGCTGCACAAACTCCTCAGCTCGACCCTGCAAGGGGTCTTCCCACGCTCCCCCCCCCCGAAGAAGGGGATGGGTCACCCTAAACAGAGCAGCTGGGCGGTTCTCTGCAGATGCGATAAGAGCAGGAAAATACTTAGATTTTGCTGCTTTTATCGCCACTAGGTAGGTCTTGATATAAGACCTCACCAGTGTTCGGTCGGAATCAGATTGACTAGTCCTCCAGACACTCTCTAGGCATCTTTTCTGATGTTTCATCTCTCTCAGCTCCTTGGAGAACCAGGGAGCCAATTGAGATCGACATCAGGTCAGAGGCCGCAAAGGCACAACGCAGTCTAAAGCCCCGGCGGCTGCCCTATCCCAGGCGGCCACCAGGTCTTCAGTCGAGTTGTGTGCCAGAGTCTCAGGAAATGGCCCAAGCTCTGTCAGGAACCTATCAGGGTCCATCAGGCGCCTGGGACGGAACCACCTGGTCTATTCCATCTCCCTGCGGCAAGGGGAAGCGGCTCGAAAGTTTAAATGAAGGAGGGAATGATCGTCCATGACAAGGGCTTAATATCTAAATCCCCTATTCCTAGATCATTCAACCACTGACCAGAGACAAAAATCAAGTCCAGAATGTGTCCTCCTGTGTGAGTGGGGTCTTGAACTAACTGGGTCAGGTCCATGGCTGTCATGGAAGCCATGATCTCCCTAGCTGCCTCCGACGTCTCACCGATGGATGGCAGGTTGAAATCCCCCATGACAACGAGTCTGGGGGTATCCACCACCACCCCGGCAATAACGTCGAGCAGCTCGGGTAGGGCCGCCACCATGTAGTAGTCAGCAAGCCCATCTGCACCCTACGACCCCACTTCACAAAGAGGGACTCACATCTGGCTATCTGAGGAACAGTGGTCTTCCTCGGGCAAAGACTTTCCCTAATAATCGCCGCCACCACTCTGCCCCTTCCCTGGGCCCTCGGTTGATGAAATGCATGGAAACCTGGTGGACACATTTCTATGAGGGGGACCCCCCCTCCTGGCCCA